TAATAAAACGGGCAAGGGAGCGGACAACTTTGTGCAGACAATACGTTTTGTGCGTAAAAATGTGGAGCAATCCAACAGAAATGCGAATCCGTTACAGTTTGAGGAGCTGGAAACGGAATTCCCTCGTGATTACGATGACAACATTGAGATGTTGTCGCGGGAGGCGGAGCATTTGGAGGAGCAATTCCGTACGCCTACCCGTTCAAATACCACAGATGCGAGTAATCATCAAGTGGCTGGCATTATTGACAACATTATTACCGAGGCGTCCCGCAGCGTGAAAACCGAAAAGACTCAAGTTGAAGTGCCATCGAAACCTGCCAATAAACAGACAGSTGGTGGGAAGCGCGTAGGCTTCCATGTTGAGGAGAAGCGCGATGGCGAGTTGTTGCACGATGAAGCAAAGGTTGAGGACTTGTCCAAGCAGTCGGAACAAGGAGAAGGCATTTCTGGAGACACCACCGTTTCTGGTACAGAAACATCGGTGTCCCAGCAACCATCATCAGCACACGCCGCATCGGCTACCTCATCAGTCACATCTCTGACAAGGGAGCGCAAGAGTGATGAGGATGACGATCCTGTTGCGATGTCGCCATGTGGACGTTTCTTCAAATACGATAAAGAAGTCGGTCGTGGTTCCTTTAAAACTGTCTATCGCGGCCTGGAYACTCTAACCGGAGTGCCGGTTGCYTGGTGCGAATTGTTGGTAATTTCATCAATGATATTRTGATAAATCAATTTGTTTACGCCCATAGTAGTTGCATTGCTAACGCCTCTTTTATTTCAGGATAAACAAGTGAAGAAAAGTGAACGCACTAGATTCCGGGAAGAAGCGGATATGTTAAAGAAATTGCAGCATCCAAACATTGTGCGATTTTATACATATTGGGAATTTCCAGTTGGTCGGAAGAAAAACATAGTACTAGTCACCGAGCTAATGTTATCTGGTACTTTAAAGTCGTAAGTGGGCTGATGAATCACTTAAGCTATACAACATTATTGATTGAATTTGTTTGAAGGTATTTAAAACGATTCAAAAAAATACACCCAAAGGTATTGAAGTCATGGTGTCGTCAGATCCTAAAAGGTCTCAACTTCCTGCATACTCGTCAATTTCCTATAATTCATCGTGATTTGAAATGTGATAATATTTTTATAACTGGCACCACTGGTAGTGTTAAAATCGGTGACTTGGGACTGGCAACTTTAAAGAATCGGTCCCATGCTAAATCTGTGATTGGTACACCTGAATTTATGGCACCCGAGATGTACGAGGAGCACTATGATGAATCGGTTGATGTCTACGCCTTTGGCATGTGCATGTTGGAGATGGCCATATCCGAATATCCGTAYAGCGAATGCAAAGGCCCCGCCCAGATATACAAGAAGGTGATATCCGGTATCAAACCAGCYGCACTCTCGAAAGTCGAAGATCCCAATGTGCGTGACATCATAGAGCGATGCATTGAGCTGAAAAAGGAGGATCGGCCCAGATGCAACGAGCTGCTGGAGTCCGAGTTCTTTGATGAGGATATTGGCATAC